CTGAATATCTCTTGTAGAAGGTTGAAGCACCATCACTTGGGAGTCTTTTCTACTGCCCCCTTGTTTGACTATTAGGACTCTTTTGTCCTACCATTCACAGTGTCTCAGTAATTCTCTTCCATAGAGCTTAGCTGTAATTTGATCAAAGTCAGTGGGAGTTTGAATGCTAGTTGACTTTCCAATAGTACTGTGAAGGAATTGCACACACAATCCTATTCTCGCATTTTGTGTAAGGTATTGTTCCTATCTTTTTTTTTTCTCTCACTCTACGTCCCATCTAAGCTGTGATATTGTGTTCTTTGTGTGATACCAACAGGTAATATTAGTACTTTATTATATGGAATTTGATTCCATGTTTTGCCTCTTTTAAATGTATAACTATTGCACTTGATTAACTATAGTACATGCTTTTTTGTGCCCCAGCAGGCTCCTGGGAGCCCTGGACATGCTCCCTGTGAGGGCCAGTGGGCTTTCGGAGGGGCTTAAGGCTGGGACATGGGTCTGGAAAAGTGTGGCAATGTGAACCATGCGGTGAGGTGCAGCTCCCAGAGCAGGCTTTCTGCCACAAGCCTTGTCCCGGGTGCCTGCAGCTTTAAGAGCTGCCAGGAGACAGGAACTATAGAGTTGTTATGAGTGTGGATAGAGTGGCCAGCAGGGCACCTGTATTATTTCCTAGAAGTCTCTTTTTTGAAAGAACTTCCTCCTCCATGTCCACGCATGCCTTGTTCCGAAAACCTTTTCAGGAAAGGTGTTCTTCCTCGTAGAAAGAGGTTTATCGCCGTCAGAAAAAGCCTTCCGTCTTTCGACTTTTTGTTGAAAGAACACAATTGCAGTGTGGACGCAAGTATTGTTTTTCCGGAATAATGGACATTATTCCAGAAAAACACTGCAATGTAGACATACCCTCTGATACAGAGGCAGCACCACGGAGCAGCAGCTGGCTTTCTGGGAGCAGGATGGCAGGCAGGAACCAGCTGCTGTCCTGCATGTAACCCTTGAAACTTTCAGCAGTTATATGGTTAATCAATTACATACATTTGAACATCTTCGTTCTCTTCCAGTATGGAATATCTCCTGGGAAATCACTTGACTAAGCATTTTGTTCAGACTAGGCATTCATTGTAAAGTATTCAATACTTAATACACATATAACCAGATGAACAGTTAAAGAAATTTCTTTTTGAGGCAGGATGTGATTCTCATCTTCTGGTGACAGGCCTCAGCTTAAGCATTACTCTCTCCACATTTTTCAGTGATGATCAGTGTGATGCAGGCTTTCAGTAGCAATCTTACATGGCATCCTTTGACAAACTGTAGAACGGGTTAGCAGCCTTTCTGAAGTGACATGCCAAGATTTAATCCTCCTGCCCTGGGCCATGGCACTCTTCCGGGGGAGTGGGGGAGGAAATAGGCTCTCTCCACTGCATGCCCTATGGACTACCTGGGTTAATGCAAACCTTTCCATGGACTACCAGTTGCTAATGGAAACTCACCCTTAATTACATAATCACGCCGGAGCTATTTTGCTAGTGCTGCAGCTAGGGAGAACAGTTTAATTTAAATTATTAAACAGATTAAGTGTTTTAACTTTCTCATGTTAGTTTATCAAACTTCATTTTAAATAAAATAAAATATTATGTCCAATACACAAGCTTTCAATGTTTTCCTTATGGCAAGAGTGGGGAACCTTTTTTAGGTTGGGGGTCACTGTTCCACAGAAAAATCAGTTGGGGACCACACAAATGAGAAGCAAAAAATCTCTTCCCAAAGCCCCCAACCCTCACTGATATGGTCCCCAGCTGCGATACTTCACTCTTCGTCCCCACAGGGTGAGGAGAAGGAACAGGAAACGCTGAGGTTCAGTGCTTCCCATAGGCCAGATTTACTTTTCTGGGGTTCCAGAGTTAGTGGATTTTGTGGACCCTGTTAGGCTCTTGGGTGGGAACAAAAATGAGGCATTCAAGGTGTGGGACAGCTGTTAGCGAGTGGGATATGGATGCAGGATATGTGGGAGGTGGGGAGCAAGACAGGGTGAGGAGGGTAGGATCTGGAAGAGAGTTGGATGGCAGGAGAGGGTGTGGGATGGGGTACAAGAGGGAGTTTGGGGACAGGAGGGAGTTGGGGTAGTAACACAGAAAAGGTGAGAGGGTGAGAATGCAGCCAAATAGCTAATTGGGGAGGGAGGCAAAGAAGTGGGGACTAAAGAAAGTGCAGTTTCTGCAAAGTAAAATTGTATCCCCCCTCACATCTTCCTTCTGCTCCGGCTTCACTCAGCCCCATGATTCCCTCCTTGTCCCCGCAGCCTGATCCCCTGCATTGCACCATGCCCCTCAGTGCAATCTCTGCCCCTTCCCATTCTGCCACCATATCCTTTTTCACCCTCCCCTTTTGTCCCCACATCCCTGTGCCCCCAGCACACTCACTGGCAGAGCAGCAGTCCTAGGACTTGCAACACTGGGGCAAGGAGAGGAAGGGGGGAGGGGAGAGGAGGGCAGAGTCTCTTCTGTGCCCGGCCCAGCCCTTTGCCTGCAGGCTGCAGCTCTGGAGATGGGGCAGGCAGAGCCCAAGGCTGGCTCCAGCCCAGCTAGGTGCAGTGGGGTGCTGGGAAAGGGGCTCCCTGCTCCCGCACAGAGCCCACTGGGAGTAGCATGGCACAGCCCTGGCCTTTATGCACCACATATGCCAGCTGCCTAGTTCCAGCTCTGCTGGTCAGGCCCTGCCATACCCCCACTCCCACCAACTCCCAAAGCAGAAAGCAGTGCCAGGAACATGCATATGCCTCTCCTTCACCCCCTCCCTCAATAGGAAGCCAGAGCTGGTACTTTCAGTCTGCAGCTGTGTGGCTGAGGCTGGAGCCACAGCACTGGCTCCCCGCTATGTGGGGAGGAGGGGTTGGGCTGAGTTCCCGCCCAGTGTGCCAGTAAGTCTGCTCATGTGCTACTTGTGGCATACACGTCAGGGGTTGCCGACCCCTGCTATAGAAGCTAGATCCAGAGAGTCTTGTGCCTTTGACAATGGGCACCAGGAGTTTCGTAGGTCATATTCACCTTACAGTGATTTCCTTTAGATACTTTCCTGGCTCACTTATGAGACTGTCATGTGGAACTATGCTCCGTTTCATTCCTTGAATAGCCTTTATCATAACCATAAAGTAAAGACAAGATAATCCATGTTTTTGTGACTGGATTTGTGTGTCTGTTTGCATCATCCTGACTGAAAAAAGGAAAATGGATACATTACAGACTGGATGATAAATGAAACCTTAAGAATTTGTGGAACTGTGATTGTATCCTCCCCTCCTGTTTACTCTCAGGAAAGATAAAGCCATAAGCTTCCTACTCTGCTCCTTCAATAAGGCCTTTTGAAATCTGGAAGGGGACGGGGGAAGAGTTTATTCATTCAAGGGACTAGAAGGTAATTCTGTCATAAAGGATCTCTTAGCTGAATTGGTTATTTTGACTGCTGACACATGCCACCTATTACAGCAAAATATCTGTCCAAGTCCACTCTTAAATATTAGACCAAGGTGAAAATTGTTATATCTTCTCTCCTAAATGGAGCAATGGTAAACTGAATAGATTTCTCTAAATTTGCATACTGTGAATAGTTTACTAATTTGCAATATTAAGAAAAATAAATCTATTTGTGGGCATTGGATTATGCACCTAACTGGCAAACACTTTTCAAAGCACATTTAAATAAATAATAATAGTAATTAAAAAAAAACCCTTATGTGCTGTGCTGCTCTGGATTAAATCATATTGGTCACGTTGAGCTGTCCAAATTGTTGAGCATCGCCACTAGGAGCTGTCCAGCACTGATGAGTACCAATTATTCATGTGCAAATTGTAAATGTGTGTACTATTTTAGAACAACCAATATTTTTATGTATTCAAAGCTCTTTATGTCTGAAAATGCAGAAAATGTGTCTGTACACAGTTTGTGGATTTTTTTCCCCTCATTTGTATCAGTTCCTGTAAGTGAAATGCTGGTAGTGGATCCATGTTTTTAGGAAAAATTTTAGAACTCCTGCCTTGTGTGGATTGCACTAACATATTAAATCGTGGATAATCATCATGCATGATGCCATGGATCATCTCATTCTCATTTGTTTATTTTTCACATCTAAATGTGACTAGCAAAATACTATAATTTTAATGCAATTTAGCATTTGTAATCA